GTTAAACCCAAGGAAAGAGAATTGTTATTCAATGGTGCAATGACAAAATAATTATTCACAAGTAGTCCAACTTAATCCCTTCTGCATAATCATGATCTATATTAGAATTATAGAATTATTATATCAAAAGCAATAGAACTAAACAGGAGAAGGCTCACTGATAACTTGGTCACATCCAATCATACTTTCTACTTATTAGGAAATTTTGGCTATAAATAAGGAAAAACTTCCCAAGTATTACTACTGAAGAAACCCTAAAATCACTTTCTCTAGAAAAGCATTACACAATTTATTAACAGAATAAAACAGAACCCAAGTTTGGAAGAGGTCTTAAAGGTTATTTAATATACCTAGCCCTTTGATTACCTGGTTGTCTGGAATGTTCTGACAGTAGAAACTGTCTGAACTAATTTCCAGTACCACAATTCTAAGAAGTTACATTATGTTGTTAAGATATTCAGTACCAGTCTCCACACTATATTAAAGATGAAAATTAAAAGAACTCAGACTTTTTACCTGTACTACAGCAGAGCCATCTGCAAATCTGGCCAGTTTTCCAGAGGATATTTCTAATTTTCTGTTTAAAATAAAAATTCAATACAAAAGGACTTAGAGGTCATCAGTACAATTCACAGCTTGGTCTAAAAATAATCAAAGATTTTAATAGAAGAAATAAAAGCTACCAAGCCCCGTAGGCCCTTACAAAAAGCAAACAAAAAGGATAAAGTTCACAATCATTATTAAAACTACAAAGAATTTAAGAGCTGCTTAAAGGAAAAAAAAATCAGAATCACAGAATGCCAGAGGTGGAAAGGCCCTTAGAGATCATCTAGTCTATGGATCAACAACCTATAGCCTGTTTCTGTACAGCCTTTCAGCTAAGAACATTTTTTACATTTTTAAAGGGTTTGTAAACACACACGAATATGTGACAGTATGCAGCCCACAAAGCCTAAAATATTTACTATCTGGCCCCTTACAGAAAAAGTATGCTGACTCTTGATCTAGTTAAGTCTCCTTCATTTGGGGGAGTGGGAGAGGAGTGGTGAAGTAACTTGTTCAAAGATCATTCAGTAAGGAAGTTTTGGATTCAAAACCAGATTTTCTGGCTTTTTGTATCAACTAAGGTCAAAGTTTTTAAAAAGTACACGTGAAAAATGTAAATGTATAAAGCATTAGCAGTTTCATTTGTTCTAAAAATGATTCCAGTAGGAACTTTTAAAAAATGATTTTAGACATGAATTCTGGCAAACAGACCCGTAGAAAAAGTATGGGCTTGAAAAACAGCTTAAAATCCACCTAGTTCAAAATCTCATAGTACTAGCTTTGGTTGACTGAGAAAGTTATCAACTTTCTTTGAGCCTCTGTTATTTTAACTATATAACAGGAGTAATAGTGTCTTTACTAGAGGCTTAAACAGAGGGTATCGTATAACTAGCATTGAATAAACTGACGTTGCACTTCCCTTCCTACCCAGGGTCATACTTGGTCACGCTTTTAGGCAATAAACTGGACTGGATGACGTAAGCATCCATTGTCAACTCATTATCCCAAGATGGAATGTTTCCCATTTCATAGCCCAGGAGTCATCAAAAGTAAAGAGATTGGAAATCAGGTGAACAGCTCAGCTTGGGAAAGGAAGCCTTAACTGGGCAGGAGGGAGGACCAAGAAGCAAAGGGCACGAGGCTGAGACAGAGCTAGAAGAAGAGTGCCATGAGACAGACCCAAACCCGGAAAGGGAAATTTGGAATTTAGGTTTGGGGTAAAGAAGGGGAAAGAGACCTGGGTTGCCGGATTCCTACTCTGAGAGATGAATGTACTCGGGCTGGTCGGACAGGACGCCTTGTGAAAGGACAGAGAACACACATCGTCCCTTACCTGCTGTCTAAGTCCACAGCCACGGTTCGGGACCCCGAGCCACCCCATAGTGCTCGCACCTGCAATTGGGTGAGTGTGCGATTCCGCCCTGGCAGACGGAGCGGACCACCGCTAAGCGGCCGGAGCCGGAGGCACGAGCAGCAGCAATGCCTGCAGGCCGCCATGACACCGGGCACGCGATCAGCCCGGGCTGGGCCTTGATTGGGTCACTCTGCAGATAGTGGGAGGAGCCTGATTCAGTTTCGTTTCCGTGGTGCCTCCCGGGAAAGCCGAGGAAGCGGATACCTGACTCCTTTCTACGAAGACTAGAGAGGGTCAAACCTATGTGAACGCGATTGTGGCTTAACCTGTCCTCTCTGTGTCAGCCAAGGAACAGCAATTAGAAAAATAAACTGTTCGGGTTTTTGGTTTTGTTTTTGTTTTGCTATCGTAGTCTAAAAGAGGGTCCTAGAATAATGTAAGTGTTTAATAAGTAGAGTAAATACAGTAATAATAGAAGTAATCAGACAACACGTTATTACTAATTGGCTTCTGTGAGTTTAGAATTACGAGAATTTGTGTAGTGGGCCATGGAAAGGGAACTCTTTCTCCCCTCCTCTGCCCTAGTTTTTATTTTATAAGTTTCAAACAAGAAATAAACTACTACAAAGGTTTGTAGTAGTTTATTTCTAGTAAATTAGTGTCATTTCTTGACCTATAATATTTTAGATATCTTAACCTGCATTTCGGATCATCTTCATTTCCATTATTAGTATTTAGCAATTCATTTCTCTGCTCATTTTGGTCAAGTTAATACTTTCTAAGCCAATTTTTAAATGCAAAATGCTGCCTACTTCTCCTTCTCCTTCTCCTTCTTCTTAAGTTTTACAAGAATGAAAAACAGTGTTTGGAATTTGAATTTGATAAAAATTTTAGGGGGTGGATTAATTTCTCCCACCTCCTCTTAATCCAGTCTGTTGGAAAATCTTTCTATGGTTCCTGGAATGAGCCCAATGATCATTTTTCTATTATGAGGGTCATATTTCTCTTTTAAGGTTATTACCCCTTTCCCCACAAAGAAATCCAAACAACAAACCCAATGCACACTCAAACGCAGTTTTAAAAACAAAAACTGTTGAACTCCAAACAGACAAATGATTTGGTGGCAAAGCAGCTCCCTGATACCCTGCCACAGGAGGTATTATCACTGACTTGGAATTTCCATGCCAATAGAAGAGATTACCACTAACTCTATTTACATTTGTTTAGTGTTAAAAGTAGTTTTTTCCTCTTCCTCTACCTTTGACTTGGCCTTGTGTTGCCAGTATTTTCAAGACCAAACCATTGAAACTTGTCAGAAGGACAAATCTATCAGAATCTACTCGCCACAATTCAATGACTCTAGATTTATAAAATATGAATACTAAATCATCTTTTGGTAAGGTACAGAGTACTTTGACAGAGTACAAATTCCACTGCCTCCCCCTCCTTGGGCAGAGATCTTAGCATGGTAATGAAGCGAAGCTAACTTTCGGACACCTCCAGATTTCCTCTGCATAGGCGTGTTTATGCGGTCAAGTCAGAGCTGGTTCAGGGTATTTAATCACTGCATATCTCTTAAAGCCCAGCTGTAGAACTTCTCTGGCAAGTATCAGGTGATTTTGAAACAAAGAGGTAAATAAAAGGAAGGATCTACTAGCTCTCAGCGGCTGATATGGGTGACGAAATATCTCCCCTCTCCTTTCCTTGATCAATGAATAATGTTCCTGCTGTGCTGTACTGAGCCCAGTTTCATTTGATTGGCATTTTTGACTCGGGGCAAAAGACCCATTGAGGGGTTATCTACCTATTGGGAATCAGTAACAAACTTAGTCCTGAGTGGTCCAGTCTTGGCTCTGCCATTTGCTGGTTCTCTGACCCTATCTCACTGAGCCTCAGTTTCTTTATCTATAGAAATTGATAACAATTTAAATCTCATAGGATTTTTGTGAAGATTAAATGCAACAGAAGATGTGAGAGGTTTATCTGACCTGACACAACTTGTCAGCAACTCAATAAATGGTAGATTCAGCTTTGATCTAGCCTTTTGTACATTTTCCCTCTAGTTTTCTCTGTTTGAAATACTGAACAACCTTCTTTCCTTCAGAACCCCATGGATCAGTTAGCTTTCATCCAGTTGGAAATGCTGGAGAGCAGAATTTACACATTAAGCCCAACTGTTTCCTCACATCAATCCAAAATAATTGAAATGGTGGTAACTGGATCATAAACTCAAAAGTAAATGTGGACACTGAAATCTTGTGGCAGAGCTTTGTTTTGAAGTAACCATATAGATGATCCAGACTATGTTTATACTAAGCATTTAAAGATTAACATAGAAACAAACATATATGTATGTAAAACATATATTCTTGTGGTTATAACTACCAAAGCTATGATCCATGAGGTTCAATCTGAAATAACACATTCTAGAAGTATTGTTCTGCCAAGTATAGTTCAACAGCCAAAATATAATTTAAAGTGAATTACCTTGGTGGACATTAAAGGTGATCCAATTTAAATCCACCAGCAATATTTCTCAGCTCTCCTTTTCTCTTTTTTTCAAGCTCCAATGAACCTGCATCAAAGTGGTTAATACCACTGCATGCTCTGGGTAGCAATTTCATTTAAGTGAAACACCATTGCATAAAATTATTTTAATTAAAATTTAATTTGGTTTGCAGTTTGGTTTAGACTGTATGTATATTTATTTTAATTTTAAGATCAAGAGCTACAAGAATAAGGGACTTATGTCTTGTTATATATTTTGTGCATATTTAAGCAGCATAATGAAAAATATCTTTGGACACTGAGGGGATCCATGAAAATTTTTTTCTTGAAAGAATGTAGGCTACTCAGCTTTAAGAAAGTCTGCTCAATACCATTGCCAGAGGGATCTTTGTAAATCACAAACCTAAATGTGCCTTTATCATGCTTAAACTTCTTTAATGTCTTCCTAAATCTTTAATCTACAGAATAAAATCTCATAAACCTTTCTTATTTAGCCTCATCCATTTTGACTTACTACTCTACTTCCTTCTCTCCCTCTCTTCATTTTATATTCTAAGTAAACTGAACTACTTCTTCCTCTCTGACATACCACCCTCTCTTATGCTTCTGTGTCTTTGCATGTGTGAGTCTCTGTGCTTAGCACACATTCCCCCTCATGAGTCAATCTTGCAAACTTAGTCTTCTGGTCTCAGCTTCAATACTGTCTGTTACTGACTACAACCTGGCCACCCAGCAGGCCAATGAATTGAGAGATGTGGTGTTGGGGAAAGGAATAGCAACTTTATTCAGAAACCAGCAGACTGAGAAGATGGTGGACTAGTGTCCCAAAGATCCATCTTACCCAAATAAGAATTCAGACTTCTTTTATACTAAAAGGGGAGGGAGTGTGGCTGGTTGTTGGAAACTTCTTGGTGCAGGAATCTTCTGTTCTTGCAGCTGGTCCACTTGGGTCTGGTCACAGTGTTCCTTTAAACCTCCAAGATAAATGTTATCTTCTGTTCTGCAACTTTTTATCTCTATATGAATGGAAAAGTGTTATACCTTTAAAGATCAGAGCCTTGAAAATGGGCGATCGTGTGTATTTTGGGCTATAGGCAACATTCTTTTACAAAGGTGCAGAAGCAGCATGACTAAGCACAGGCAACAGCACAAAGGTTAGAATAGATCTAAAGGAATAGATCCAATATGGAGTTGGGTTTGTTCTTTTCTGTTACATATCATCTTTGACTTCCCCAGATTGACTTATGGATATAATCTATGTCTGTCTTTCCACTTTATTAACTAATTCATGTAGTCATTATTTCATCCATGGAAATGAATGTGGGAGTAGATATTGCAGAGTGATTAAAGTGCTGTCTCTGGCATCAGATTGTGTAGGTTTGAGCCTCATCTTTGTCACCTCTTAAATATGTGACTCTTGGTAAGTTGCTTATTCTTTCTATACCTCGGTTTCCTCATTTCAAAAATAGAATGAAAATAATATGTATCTCTTAGGATTGTTATGCAGATTTAAATGTAGTCTTATTTTTATGGAACTAAGCATTGTCCATGGCATGTGGAAAGTGTAGTAAGGTGTGTAATGTTTACTGAATACTTGCTTTATGCCAGGTACTATGCTAGGCTCAGGGGATATAAGGGTGTTGAGATCATCATAAGGCATAATAATCCTTGCTTTATGAAGCTTGCAGTCTAGTATGAGAGACCGACAAAAACATAACCAAACAAATAAACATAAAAATTAAAGTGTGATTAATGCTAAGAAGGGAATAAACTAGGTGCCAAGGTAGAAAATAGTGGGATGCACTCCCGGGCATATATCCAGAGGGAACTCTAATTAGAAAAGATACATGCACCCCAGTGTTCATAGCAGCACTATTTACAAGACATGGAAACAACATAAATTTCCATCAACTGATGACTGAATAAAGAAATTATGTGTGTGTGTGTGTGTGTATATATATAAATAAATAAATAAAAATAAATAAATATAAAATAAATAAATATACTGCCCAGCCATAAAAAAGTATAAAATAATACCAGTTGCTGCAATATGGATGGACCTGGAGAATGCCATTCTAAATGAAGTAAGCCAAAAAGATAAAGAAAAATACCATATAATCTCACTTATATGTGGAATCTAAAAAAAACAAAAAACAAAAAACAAAAAGCACAAATGAACTTATTTACAAAACAGAAACAGACTCACAGACATAGAAAACAAACTTAATGGTTACCAGTGGGGGAAGGAGGTTGGTGGGAAGGGTTAAATTGGGAGTCTGAGATTGGTAGATATTAACTACTATACATAAAATAGATAAACAAGTTTATACTGTATGGAATATACAACCATATGCGATATTTAATATCTTTTAGTAACCTATAATGAAAATGAATATGAAAATGAATATATGTATATATATATTTATGTATAACTGAACTATTATGCTGTACTACTGGAAATTGACACAGCATTGTAAACTGACTATACTTCAATAAAGAAAAAAAAGAAAAGAAAATAGTGAGTTGGAGGGAGAACTTACATCAAATAACGTGGTCAGGGAAAGACTTCCTGAGGAGGAGACATTTAGGCCATCCTGAAGGATGAGAAGGAGACAGCTTCTGAAACATGGGAGCTGAGTGGGAGCAGCCACTTGCAGGGGGAGGTTTACCCTTGAGTTAGGAAAGAGTTTGGCTTCTGTTAGGACATGAAAAAGCAAGTGTGGCTACAGAATAGTAAGCAGGAGGTGGCAGAGATGAGGAAGGAGAGGAAGGCACTAGAAGTTTAAACAAGGAAGTAGCATGATGTAGTCCACAATTTAAGATAGCCCCTCTGGCTACTGAGT